GTAGTACAGTCAACTAACAATTAGGGATCTCCACTCAGCTATCTCTTTGTGCACTCTTAGTCCCCTCAGGAAAGCTGTAAGGGAACCAAATCTGACTCATTAGCCAGAAATGACAGTATTAAGAATAAATGTAGGGCACCACATTCAGAGCTGTAGGAATGGATATCAAAAGGTCCCTATAATACATCCTCCATTAAGAACTAAAATAAAACATGCATTGCGGTAAAAGGTAAGAGAGTATCAAAACAGGGAATTGCCTGCAGTTATGACCTGCAATCACTTGTAAAGAAAGACCCAGAAGAGGTGGACAAGTTATGATCCCAAGCAATCCCCTGTTCGCTGTACAATAGTACATCAAAGAGAAAGTGTGAACATTTGCAAACAGACCTTTTCTGTCTTGGATTGTAGAAGTGTGTGTCAATTGCATGAACACAGACATTTTAATAGGACGCTCTTTTACTTAGCCAACTGAAAACCAAAGTGCTAGTTGTGAAACCAGAAAGTCCCTTGCAACTGCTTCACTGAATAGGAAATAAACACTGCAGTTAGTTACAGCATCTGCAAAATGTTTAATCTACACAGCTTTAGGCATTTGGGAGCCCTGATTCACTTTCCTAGATTTCTGACAAAGCCAATGGAGAGAGGAAGTATGCTGTGAACTGCAAATTACAGCCTCCATTAACCCTATCAGGGGGCTGGGTAAATTACCCAGCATAAACATTAAGTTGGCAAAATTTCAGAGCAGCCTGTAGCGGAGCATCGCTGAAAGCCTGGGCACAGGACACCTTATCTTCTCACTTCTTCCTTTTTTTTTTTTTTTTTCCAAATGCATCAAACAACCGGTTTTCTGCACCTTAGCCACAAAATCGGAGTTTTAACATTCTGCCACTCATAAAGTCAAACAAACACCCCAAACCCCCCGACTACTATGTTTCCTACCACTTAGGACACCACACGGCATTTCGAAAACCACAAAACCGCTGTTCAGTTAGCAGCCCGGAGAGCTTTCCACGAAGGGGTTTA